TATATTAATTATTATAATTTAAGTTAATTAAAAAATAAATTTAAATAAAAAAAAGTTTTTAATATTAAATAAAAAGCTATAAATTTTATTTATAATACTTAAAATAATAAGAATATTAATTTTATAAAAAAGCTTAGTTAATATAAATTTTATAACGTGATATTAACGCTCTTACTGCGAAGCCCGCCTTACGGGTATAGTATTTTGTTAACCAGTCAACTCAACGTCAACCAAACTCAATACAGGATCGAGGTTGATCAACTCAACGGATGAGTTGCTTATTAAGCGGCCAACTCACTCAATAGATGGCTGAGATTGGTTGGGTTGAGTTGATCGCCACCCTGCATGCGCTTCTTAAAGCTTATCTGAGAAAGTCCACGCTGGACCTGTTCAAAGCCTGGAGGGCAATCAAGCATGTTGTACTTAATCAGCTGTTTAAACTCATGTCTAATCAAGCAAAACAGTAGATTAGAACACTGATTAAGCTTTTGGGGCCTTTGTATAATGCTGTTTGTGGCTGGGTTTTACACAAAGCTCTTAGAAAAGTGGAGGAATAACGTAAGCTACTTTATATAAAAACATATCTGCCTCCGCTTATTTATACTGGGGTGTTCACGAAGTCATGGGGTCTACTGTGTGTCCATATAATCAAATTATTAATAAAAAGTCATGGCGTTCTTTCACTAGAGCATTTTTATACTTATTGGCACCTGAGACGAAAAGGTTCGCCATAGCATTTACTTAAGCCATTATAATAGACCGATATGGTGAACCACATATCACGCGCCCCTTAGCAGAGCATAAGAAGAGAGCTAAGTTTATTTAAGACGATAGAGCCGACGAGGGCTCCTTTAACTTGCAGTAGATACCACTAAATTAGGCATATAAAAGCTGGGAATAATTGCCCTCTACGGCATGCTGAGCTTGTGCAGCGGCTAGCCTCCCATGCGGATCTATTGGGAAACGAGATGAGCTCGATCTTTTGTGGCCCTTAATTTTCTAACAGTCAGCCTACGACTGAATAATTCAAAGTAGGCTACTTAAATAAAGGCGCAGACCGGGCCCTGATCGTGATGCGGGGGCATGTTCAACAAATTCCCTACAAATATTCCCAAGCTTTCCCGAATCACCCTTGGTCCAAGGATGTTGGCTCTGGATGTCACGTATCAATCTCTTTGATTCTGCATCTCGTGCCTCAACACGAACTTCATACGGAATTGGTTGACTAATTATTCCTGGTTGGAAGTCAATAACTGGGTTTGCCTCCTGTCCAGTCTTGCCGGCTTTGGAAATTTTAAACACGGCCAACGTTTTTGCAATTGCTAAATATATAGTGGACTGGGCAAGAAATCGGCCAGGACAAACTCGACGCCCAAAACCGAATACCAATTTTCGAGGGTCGCACTCTTCTGATAGACCAATATGGGACAGAAAACGGTCAGGATTAAACGACATTGGGTTGTGATAGGTATTGGGATCATGAGTAAGTGACCTGACTTTCATCAGCGAAATTACCGGAGCAGATGTCGGTATAGTCGACTTACCAAATATTACAGATAATTGTGGCTCCCTCCGGAATCCGATATCCTCTGAAGTCAATTTCTTCTGTGGTCATGTGTGGTAACCCTAAGGGGGCCACCGGATGCCATCGCAGCACTTCTAGAAGCAAGGCGTTGATGTATGGAAGTGATTCTTTGTCATCCATTGTTGGAAGCCTGTTGGTTCCAACGACCCGATGTATCTCTTCCCTGGCTTTTTCTTGAACTTTTGGATGTAGCGCCATAGCCAAGTAAAAGGTTTGGAGAGAGGAAACTGTCTGCTACATGAGTTAGCATGGGTTGGCTAATTATTCTCAAGGCAGCACATTACAGTGTCAGCACCGGCTCCGTACATGGTTGCAGCAGTCCACTTGATGGTGAATTCTTCCTCCGAAGTGGGTTCACGACCTAATTGATCTAGGTGTTCTGATACGTAAGACTTTTTGTAAGTGTTTTGTTCTCTGCGATCCAAAACAAAGGCATAAGGTTTCTCAGCTAATGTCTCCAGTACTGTCCTCCATTCCCGTGCTTTACGTTGAATACTGGCACCTGGAAACCACATCGGCAAATACTTGACTGCAAACGATTAGCATCTAGAGCATCGCTACCCCTGAGTAGCACATCAAAGACGACATGATACATACGGATAGGAAAGATGTCAATCAGCCAAGCTCCTGGTTCAGCTGCCATCGAAAATTGGGTGGTAGATAAATCAGCAAGTTCCACAAGGGGATCCTGTTCATGAGGCTCCACAGAGTACCCATATACAATATTAAGAATTATAGATCCGGTTTGACTTTGCTTCTGATTAGTTTATCTCTAAACTTAAGCAGAAAAATATCTATTTACCGTCGAATATGATTTGCTAGATCATCCGGTTGCTTCATTATCCGCAACATAAGGTGGCAGGCCTCGATGTCCAGTTGGTCGTTAAAGCCAGCAAATGCCTTCGTAGACCCGATGCATTTAGTTATGCATCTCCGATGCACGCGAACGATGTCTCTATCACCCTGGACAGATACTATTCGGTTCCACCCCGTTCTTTGATCTATTAGATATGCTTTCCTTCTCCACCCTACAGGAAAGCGCAGAGTAATCAAAGAAGGACTTGGACTTACAATTCCCCAATTACAACGCTTGATGGTCGTGATGCATTGGTTTTTGATCGCATTTCGAGAAGATCCTGGGCAATATCTACGTCGTTGACCACAACAATGGTCTGGCCCATTATTGTCACGGAGCTGATTGGGCCTTGAAGACATTGTCATTGTTGGCTCGACAACGAAAGGCAGATAGCCAGACAGTAATTAGATCACTGACCGTAAAGATCTTTGTGCTTAGCCCAGTGTTCCCATTCTTTGCAGCCCTTTGGAGGAAGCCCTGTTAAGCTGCCGACCAAAGGCCATCTCTGAGGACCAGGTGGGAGAGAAAGCGAAGTCGCTGGCTTGAGAAAAGTTACAAGTATGCGGAAACCAAGCGCTGCCAAGAGCGTAACGATAAATATGTAAACAACAATCATGTTTGGGACATATAAATCCTCTGCAATGTGGATTAAGTTAAATTAAGATGGTGGTGAAAGAAGGATTTGAATGTGCAGAACGTACAAGATGGATTTTGGTGGCTGATAATGGCTCATGATATAAAGTCGAAGACATTGCTTGCTGGGTTATTTGCCACTGCCTTCTTTTTGCAAGATCGCATTGCTTCCTAGCTTTTGCCTGATTTTAGTGTGCTACTTGTTTCGCGTCCCACTTTATATCTTGAGCATTCCCAATACATACAGTGGAGTGTGGTACGAGCGTTTAGGTTCGCGGAGACCCGCTCGCACAGTATGAATATTTTGTTAAAAAGACGCTCCGACGTACAGGTTTCAGATTTTGACGCCGCCAGCCACCAGTGACAGGTTTTAATCAGAATGTTGAAGGCAACTACCAAATGCACCCACCGCATCAAATCGGAGGTATGACGGTCACTGCTCTTACTGAAAAGCGAAGGTTTTCTTTAAATTCCGACCCCCCCTGCACGCTAACACGTCATCCAATTTCGCTAGAAAAGATAGCTCGTATCACGTGTTTTCAAGGCCTCTGATTGGCCAGAATACTGATTTTTGATTGGCTATTCTAACACCTTCGTACAGTCCCCTTTTGCTCGAAGAATGGGGTCCGCGTAAATTTCCCTTTGGGTTTCGCAGTCAACGACCCTGACTCGCCCATTTCGCGGTCAGATATTTAAGCCAATCTTTTCTACTCCGAACCACCTGCCCGCGATCACGTGTACCAATTTGTTAGATTCTCAGTTACCTCAGGGCCTACTAGAGACGATACAGCAAACCGTGGGCCCGGCAGACGAGGACATTTGTGGTCTGGACGGTATGCTAGCCAAGCGACATACTGGCGGCGCAGGCCGAGATGAACCACCTTATCTGCTAACCCTGTGGTTGAAAGACTCATTGAGTTTTAGGCCTCACGTCCGCAACAGTGCCCTCATGCACGGCAAAGCTCTCTTGTGGTATGTGTATGGGAGCTCTCCTTTGCGCTCTGTGGTTTTTTGGTCGTTTGTAGAATGGAAAAGGGGCCAAGTGGCCAGCCGCGTCGTCCGGGCGGTATTTGGCGGTAGGTATTTGGTCCTATTTTGCGCCCCACCGAGGGTGGCAGAATGACCCTCGCGGCCCCTTCACCGTCCGGTATCCGACGCCAGATACCGCCGGCCTACCTGGTGAGGCTGTTTACAAGTTGGCGCCAGCGCTGCGCAGCGGGTGGGTGAGTCGAACGTGAGACACATATCTGTGCACATAGTAATACTCTAACAAAGTATTACCCTCCGGGCCGAATATCCAGCCGTCAAGTCCCTGGCCATGGGCCCGTGGCAACAGCAAATGTTCAAAGTATTTTGCCAGTAACTAAATAGAATCTGACTCTTATTATCAATTGTGTCACACACACAATTGTATGGGACAGCCTAGACAGAATAAAAGACTCTTAATTTCCTACATTAAGAGTAGAATAATACGAAACTAAATACTTATTGTAATACTGCTGCCTGCCAGGCAGCAGTATAGTAATAGCTGTTGCCTTGAATGAGCGACTTGACCTTGACAAATTGTCCGACAGTCAGGCTTTGGCTGAGTTTGTTGGGTAATGTAACGCGGTCCATAGTAAGCAAAGTATGACGAGCGCTAGGACTAATTTTGATATACTCAGGAGTGTTCTTGCCCCCCCTTCGCGCTTGTTGTTGTAGGGCGTTGGCAAACCATGTAGGTCCAGCCGACGACCCCAATTCTGATTACCGACCCGTACTCTTTTGACCGTGGCATAGTCTAACAGCTCGCCTTCCCGGACCACTTCTCCCATTATGGCCGCCATAGGCGCGGCATTGTTAACCATAAGAATGCGTGTTACGAATTGGTCGATAAGCGTCCCCGACGAGTTTAGTCGCGTCGTTCGACCCGATAACGAACACAATCTTTGGGCGCGGGGCCCTTGACGATTACTGTACTGGTGGAAGAGCTGCGTTATTCCATCTTGGCTGACGGTGTTCAACGACTTGGAGCTAGAATCGTGCATCCTGTTGCGAAGGTTGTTGCAGAGAACAACTGCATCCTCAACCGCACAAGCGCCGCCAAGACCCAGGTCCGGGGTCATCGTCAAACACTATGTTAGCATTAGGAGAAGACCGAGAGGGCACTACTCACTTTGTGGACTGCATCACCAATAAGAACAATACGGCCGCTATGCCAATTCTTCAGTACGCCTTCCTCGACAGGGACAAGTCCCGAGCTTGACCTGGAGTACCAGAGATTTCCGAAGATGATGGTCTCCGTAACGGGAGTGCTCATGATCTGCTCAGCCACCACTTCCTCATCTTTGTCGGTATACCTCGTGTTCACGGGCCAGCGTGTTCTCATTTCATCTTTGACAAAGACTGCCCAATACAATGTATCCGACGTCGTTGCCATGAACACAGAGAAGCCGTTGCTATGGCAGATATGGATGTCACCGATCCCAAAATCTGACATATGCGGACTGGCGCCGAAGAGACACCTATACGACGTAGTGAATGCTTTATACATCACGAGATGCTTTAGTCACGCACGGACAAACAAGGGGAGCGAACGACTAGGGGCCCCAAACATACAATTTCGTTCCTCGAGCGCTATCGACCCCGGGGTCAGTTTGTTGGCGTGCTTCCACAAAAAATCCCTTGCAGTGCTGTGTACTCCATCAGCACCTATAACAATAGCTCCCGTCTCGACACTGCCGTCATCCAGAACAACCGACACTCCATGGTCCGTTTGCTCGATTTGCCTGACAAACTTCTTCGTGGCAACTCGAGACTTGTCTGGCAAGTGATTGTAGAGTGTTTCTATATAAGCCTGGCGATCCAATATCAGTGTCGGGTATCCATAGCTAGGAGATGAGACACATTAGTAGCCGTTCACGTCTTTGAAGTATACTCCATTCGCTGGGCAAATACGTAACGTCTAACGTACCATTCTTCCAACCGCTTCGTCACATCTGGCCGTGCTATGACATTCCCGTGCGGCCCTCTTCTGTACTCCTTTTTCACGCATCTGGATGATTTCTCGAAGTCCTCAAGACAGCCTAACTGATCCATGATCCTTGCAATGTGCGGCCACATTATAATTACCCCACCCCGTGGGGAGACTACGTCGGGATGCTTCTCGAGTACGACATGTTCGATGCCGGCTCGATGTAGTGCGTGCGCCATGCAGAGACCAGAGATTCCACCCCCTATAACAATGACGCGGGAATAGTTGCATACTTTCGATGTTTCTGAGATGCATTTCATGTTTTCATGTTTTGTCAAAACCTTGATGTTGGATTATATGTGCCAATGCTATACCGCGCTCAATGGTCGAATATTTATGCCTCACTTTCAATTCTGATTTTGCACTATACGTGCTGCAGTGCTGTAAATATGTACGTACGCCCTGGTACTGTACAGTACCGTGCACATACTGTTCGTGATCAGGACATGTATGTACAGAAACCAGGGGGGCTGAGATATATACCACGGTAGCCCCAAAAGGGAAGGGAAATTTTGTGTGCATATATGTACATGTACGTACGTTCGCGTCGTATGCCCGGTTCAGGTGTACTACTTCGAGCCTCTGTGGCTGTCTAAAGCTTGTTAGACAAGCCACTGCAACAGAGATGGCATTTCTGTTACGTGTGTTTTGTCTTTCTGGAGTGTATGGCCGCCAGGCTTGGAAATTGATCGACTGATGAGATGTAATCGATTCGATTGATCGAGCGGGGATTCCAGTCGGTCGGCCAAATGAATCGATATCGATCGATCAAAGAACCATCCTTAGTCAACAGTGGCGTCGATCAACATTAAACTAAGACCAACGATCGAGGCTCAGAAATACGATCAATTTCTAAGCCTCGTATGTATACTTTCTTTTAAAGAAGATCCACATTTTCTAATAAAAGAATTCGCGGGTCTACAATAAACATACGAAAGATGCGATGTGCGAAACTTTATTGCCTTGGCCCCCCTGCCTCAATCAAATCTGTTGGGGTCACAAGGCACCGCAAAAAGAGGTTATAATATCTATATATGGTAGTAAGAGGGGCTGTGTAGTGGTCACTATAACCATGGGTTTCGTTTTCCCCGTTACGAGTCTTACACATGACCTTGCGCGGGATATGAGGTTATGATTTATGAATATTGCCTGCCTGACTACGGTACACACTAGTGGGATCATGCATACATACATACATACCAAGGCATGATTAGCTTTGGCGGCCGCCATCCTTTTGGCCACAAACTCTGTCTAAACCTTCATAAAAACAGCGTATTCTCGTACTTAGCATACGCCCTTGTGTCTCGCCCGCACTTTTTCGGGTCGCGACTTCGCCGCACCCTCAAACAGGCTGATGCGTATTAATAATAGCAGCACAACTTCAGCTCTGAGAAGCTGTCAAAATCCCCACCGCTGCTTGTTGATCAATCTGGTCAGAGCTAAGTTGCGAAATGGCCCAGTTCAAAACAGCCCTTGAAGCGTCCTCTTACCAGCACCCTGGACACTGCAGCCCGTACGAGCATCATCGCAAGCAGACGATGGAGAAAATGCTGGAACTTGGATGCGAGTATGCAACAATGGCTGAGCATGCTCTATCCTGGGCCGAGGACCAGGACCCCTTCGGACACGTCATGTCACAGGCCTATCCACACATCAACGCCAAGTGCTTCACTCGGCTGCTTGAGTCATTTGAAGAGTCTCTAAAGGATAAGTTCCCTGATTTTATGGGCGCTCGTGGGATAAGTGCCATGACAAACAGATACACAATGGCTGTGAAGAGGGTGGTGAAATATCCTGATACCGTATGTCTAACTCCCAGACTCTTATTCAACCTCTATTCAGGCTGATTGAAGCATTACACTAGGTCATCACCGGTGCGCGCATCTCGGAAGTCCGCCCAGACCGCGTTTTTGTGATATTTTCCGTCTGGTCAGTACGCCAAAACATTATGGTCGCCGAGTTTCAGGCTTGGGTTGTCTTCTTCAACCATGATAAGGGTGTGACTGTTGAGTTACCTAGGGAGGGTGGGGTTTACAATGAACTCTACAGGAATCTCTTAAGACGGGCCGAAGAGTCAAATCGTGCGGTCCAACGTTGGCACATGAAGAAAATCGCTGGTAGCCCGGCACAGGAAAAGCTGTAGATAGCCGCGTTAGCCCAGATTCCCATTTGCCCGTATCTGATGGAAGTGGGTGCTAAAATGGCCTCAGACTGCTCTGCCACGCTTGCCAATGCAAAATCATGTTTGGAGTGTCTCTGTCAGCTCAATCAATCACTTATCAAGAATAAGTCGCTCATCTAAGGCAACGGTCATTGCTACACTGCTGCTGTAAAGGGGCACGGGGTATATTCAGCCAGAACCATGTTGCAAAACCAACAACTTTGATTGCGTTGGGCAGATTGCGAGACTTTCATCAGCGCCGGTCGAGTGCGCCTCGGCGGCTCAGCCCATAACGTCTGCCTGCCAATATGACAGCGAGTAATTAGTTTTGTGTTATTGTATGTATTCCACTCTTTATGTAGAAAATAACAAGAGGCTCTCGTTTGGCTCAGGTTGATCTCATACAATCGTGGTGTGTCGCAACTCGTGCCATGTCTCCACTCTTTTGCCGCAACTGTTTTGTTTGCCTTACGTGCTCACTAGCTGTGGACTATAAATACGTCAAATGCAAGCCTGCAAACAGAAGCCAAGCTACCCAGTGAAGCCAACTTGGTGGTGCGATTTGGCTGTGAATGCAGCCAAGTTAGTGACTGTCCGTCTTTCAAAACTCGTTCATACCTATTCGGAGACTTTGCAATAATTATCCTCCGCGTGTCAGTATGCCACTTGTGTCTCCTGTCGCCCGAAATAGAGACGCCGCCTGGGGGGGGAATATTAGCATGATGAGATTAAGGTCTGCTATTCCTTCGTCATGCTTTCGCCCGTCATTATGGATATCTGCTGCGTATTTGGCGCGGGACTGCCTCTATACTGCCGTATTCGTATCCTTGGCTTTGAATATTGATGTTTTGCCCTGCAAATCTAGCCGCATCCTGGCATGGGGAATCTACGGCTTTCTGCAGGGTTGTGTTGGCATGGGGTTTTGGGTGATTGCACATGAGTGCGGCCATGGCGCTTTCTCGCAATACGCACTTCTTAACGATGTGATCGGATGGGTTATTCACTCGGCGCTTCTTGTGCCCTACTTCTCGTGGAAAATAACACACGCACGACATCACCAGCACACGGGCAACATAGAACGGGATACAGTATTCGTCCCCTCCACCAGGCGCCAGAAGTGGCTGCAAAAGAACTCATGGGTCATGTCAACCGTCGCCGGCCTCACGGAAGAAACGCCTTTATACACAACTCTTTGTCTTCTGGGCCACCAGCTTGCTGGATGGCAAACATACCTACTGTTCAACGCTTCGGCCGGGTCCAAGAGCGCGCCGTATAGCCCTGGCTGGGCCCCGTTGCCAAAGAGTCACCTTAATCCTTTTAGTACACTTTTCAGCACTACACAGAGATGCCGGGTAATTGTTTCCGATCTTGGTTTATTTCTCATGTGTTTGGCCCTGCATCGTCTGGGCTCAAAGATAGGCGCATTCAAGCTGGTAATGTTATATTTCCTCCCCTATCTCTGGGTACATCACTGGCTAGGTGAGTGGCCCTCGCCCCAACCCCGCCAGAGTCCAGGTTGTTCCTTACGTAAATGATGTAGTTGCCATCACATTTTTGCATCATACTAGTCCAGCTGTACCCCATTTTTCCGATGAGTCATGGACATTCACGAGTGGGGCTCTCTGCACAGTTGATCGAGACTTCGGATTCATCGGTCGTCATTTCTTCCATGGCATAATCAACTATCATGTCGTCCACCACTTCTTTCCCAAAATCCCGTTCTATCGCGCAGAGGAGGCCACCAACTCCATAAAGCCCATACTTGGGAGCCTGTATCATGATGACAAGGGAAGATTTTTGCCCTCACTGTTAAAAACATTTGCTAAATGCAAATACGTGCTGGATCCAGCTGATGGAGTCTACTACTGGGAGGGTTCCGGCCATGTTGCAAACGCAAAAGCGGATACGCAACCAGGCAAATGACTGATCTGCTGGAAAAGCTCGTGAATTTTTAGTACAGGTGCTGGGGAGAGAGCGATAGATGACAGGGGACTGCAATTAAAACTGCGCTAAAATGCACAGGTGGTGCGGAGACTTTGTTTGCGGAAGATACACCAGAATTCATCCAATAACTATGCAGACGACCATGACATTATATTACTCGCCTTGCCTCCATGTATTACACATATCATTCAACCGTTAGATGCCGTTGTCTTTCAGCCATTGAAGCACTACCATGCCAAGGCATTGGATGTGGTGGTCGCTGATGGTTGTCTTCAAATGGCAATTGCTATGCCGGCTGAACCACTTTGCTACGGGGACCGTCTTAGGGGGGTCGTGTCGCGACTTCGCTGCAGCCTTAGAAAGGTAGCAAAGTCGCAACCCGAAAGAGTGTGGGCGTAGCACGATTATACTTTTCAGTGCAAAGTGCAAGGCTGATAGAATTTGTTGGCTTAACGTTATTTTTTTCTACTAGTTGCGGTCATTCCTTAAAAGATAACGCCCCGTCAGACTAATAGTGCCTTCATTCCAATTACAATTTATTAAGTTCGTCTCCCTTGACCCCGAGGAAATCAAGCAGTACAGAGGCCCAATAATCGTAGGAGGGGGCGGTTCCCTACTGCATAAAATGGAAGAGGAAATTTGTATGTACATAGCCATTGAACGTACTGCCGCACCAGATGTACGTACGTGTATTCCAAAATGGTACTTCATGAAGGCTTCGCTCGTTGTCTATACAAGCTGAAGGCTTCTAGGCGCGAAAGCTGGTGCAACTGGATGGAGGTATTTAGAACCAGTACAATAAAAACAAACCAAAGAGAGGAGAAGGCCATTGAATCAATAAGTCCATAGGTCAACCTGAGTAGTTTAGTAGATGGAAGGACAATGACAATGTTGCTACATGTATGACAATGCTTCATAATTCAAAAATAAAATGGGCTGCCTAAACTTTGTAGGTACAGCACTGCCAGTCACGGGTCAGTCCCCCCTGTATATATATGTAGACAGCTCTGCCAAATTTCCTTGCAGGTAAGGACATCCTTCAGTCAACACAACAAGGGAAAGAGTGCTACTTTACATTTGCCGCCACTTTACGGCCAACAAAACCAGTTCGAACAATGTCAAATAAAAAAATTCAGTATGCTTGTGCTATTAGTGGAAATCTATGTGCACTTTTATTTATTATTGCACTGGCAGCGTCTGGCTTTCTTCCACCTCTCCCACCGGACTGGGATGCCGTACAAGTGGTCGATCACTACCACGATCATGAGAACGGCATTAGGGCTGGCGCGGCACTGCTTGTTGTATCAGGCATGTTCTATCTCCCTATGACGGCAGCGATCTCAGACCAAATTCGACAAATTACTGGCATATACGATGCTGTTCGCAACATTCAACTTGCCGCTGGCGCTGCTGGCGCGTTTGCTATAGTGATGCCTGGAGTAACTCTCGCTGTTGCCAGTTACCGCCTTGACCGCCCTATCGAGACCACCCAACTTCTTAACGACCTTTTCTGGATGCTTCTTCTCATTCCCTGGCCGATTTTCATGGCCCAGAGCTTCTCTCTTGCGTACGCTATCCTTGTCGACTCTCGAGCTAAGCCTCCATTCCCCAAACCTATAGCTCTCGTCAATATCTTGGTTCCCATCACCTATATTCCATCCATAGCCGTACATTGTGTTAAGACTGGCCCGGTAGCATGGAACGGTGTAGTCAGTTTCTGGATTCCAATTATTTCTTTCGGTATTCAGGTTATGGTCGACTGCACCTGCCTAATGCGAGCGGCGGCGGCTGCAGATATGCAAGCATATTAGAGATAATGTCTCAGATATCAGGACTTTGAGATAGACCAAGTCATTACTTTTGCAACAGCACATCGCAGCATTGCAGGCTCAGTATTACCAGCCGCACACAGTCTCGAGATTGTAGCTAAGACGGTTCCTTGTTACAACTTATCACGGTCAAGTCGCTCATTCAACGCCAAGCTGTGCAGAGCCGATGAAAATCGAAGGAGATAGCATGGCTGTTTCCGAGGGATAGGATCTTCAAGACCAAATAGATCTGTTGTTATGTAAATCGTATACGGGCTCAAGCCTAGTTACCTTTGACAACACCTTCCCCTGTAAAGGTGCATATCCCTATCGCCCACCGTAGTCGCCCACCGTAGTCGCCCACCGTAGTCATCTCCATCTAGGACAGTGTTTTTTGAGTTTTGCAACAGTGGCCTCTAACTTATATAGGCCGCCGAAGGCAATCTTCATGAGCCATCAAACCAAGTTACGCTACTGCGAACCAAGTTGCCACTGCGAACCAAGTTGCTACTGCGAACTAAGTTGCCATTGCGAACCAAGTTACTACTGCGAACTAAGTTGCCACTTCTACGTAGTTTAAAAGTTTAGACGCTAATATTTCTAAAAAAAAAAAAAAAAAGCCCCAAGATTCTTTAACTAAGTAGTAGTTACGAACTTACGATCAGGGTAGGCTTAATATGCGATAATAATTCTACCAACTCCTCTTAGTACTTACCCGCTCTAAGCTCCCCGACTAATCAAACTATTACTTTACTAGATGAGATGTGCTAAGCATAGTATATGGTTCCAAATCGACATTTTCCTCAACCGCACGGCTGCAAATCCGGTCTAGGGCATTGTATATTCTGGCGGATATTTTATCATAACTAACTAATAGCACAAGCATGACTAGTTTTTGCAGTTGTCGATTTTCAGTTTCAAACGAAATGCCTGCCACTAGGCCGCCAAACAAACCCCGTCCTGGGATTGATATTTGCCTTTACTGGGTATGAACTACTTAGAGCTGTTGAACGTGAATCATGGCGATGCCCACTTCCTAGGTGAAGCTCTATTGAGATTCAAATGGGCATTGACCAGGTCACTACTCGTCAGGGCGGCACACAGGGACACCTCCCCGGCGAGAGTTGCCGCCGCAATGATGCTTGCTAGGCACTGGGCGTTCCGGCCTGTTTCTGTAGGATGCGCGCCTGCCACGCCAAGCATCTCTAGCATGGAGCTCTGGGGCTCCAGCACTGTGCCCCCCCCTACAGTGCCGACTTCAAGGGAGGGCATGGTGACTGATACACGTAATGAATTATCGACGCAGTTGCTGGAATCTATTAGTTATCCAGGACAATCTCGGGCACTGTTATTACCTACCACTCCATGAGAGTTATGCAATTTGCGCTTTCCACGACCTGTGCTGGATCCTGCCCGGTAGCGATGAAGATGGCGGCGACAATATTGGCGGCATGAGCATTATATCCGCCAATAACCCCTGCCATCGCCGAGCCGACAAGATTTTTTGAATTATTGATTCGAACCATTGCTTCGGCAGTGCATTTTAAGACTGATTGAACAACTTGATGTGGAATAACAGCTTCTGCTACGACACTCTTACCTCTACCTTCGATCCAATTGAGCGCAGAAGCTTTTTTGTCTGTGCAGTAGTTGCCAGACAAAGAAACGACTCGCATGTCTTCAAACTTGGGGTCTTGGCTCATAACTCGCAGGGCATTTTCGACACCTTTTGAAATCATGTTCATACCCATGGCGTCGCCGGTTGTCGCCTTGAACCGGATATATAGACTTCTCCCAGCAATGCTTGCATTGACCCTTCGCAACTTGGCAATATTACTGGTGCTCTCAAAAGCATCGCGCAAGATGACCTGGCCCTCGTGTGAGCTAATCCAATTCTTGGCAAAAGCTGCTCGTTCTGTACCTGCGAATTGGACGCATGGGCCACGGGTGATGCCATCATCGGTTAGATTCGTAGTGACGCCGCCTGCGTTGTTAATTGCCTTGCAGCCTCTATTCGTACTAGCAATAAGTGCGCCCTCTGTTGTAGCCATAGGGATAAAAAAATTCTTTGAATCAATCAAGACAGGGCCAGCCACGCCAACCGGGACCGGCATGTACCCAATTACGTTTTCACAACAGGAGCCAATGACGAGATCCCAGTTGTAGTTCTGGTGCGGTAATTTCGCAAGAATTTGTCCACTGAGCCCTGTAATGGCAAGAATCTTGGCCAGGACACGACGCCTTAGGGCTACCGCCTGGTCTGGGCCTTGCGTGTAGTGTTCAAGGGCATGAAGTGGTATTTCTTCTGCAACGCACTTAGACAGAATATCGGCCTCATTCAGGCTACTGTACTGTTTCATAACAGGCACGTCATGATTCGTATGCCCCGTATTATACGGTTTACGTATAAGGAGTGAGGACGGTGTCATAGCAAGCAGCTCCACGTCGAGTCTTGCGGGTCGCTGATAAGCGAGATCAGTATTGTGGTCCCAATAGGCGTACTGAATTATAAAAACGTCTGCATACATAGGCATTACTTCCCTGCCGGGATTTCACTAGCACTTCGGGAGATACGGTAGCTTCGCTATTGCTGAGTAATGTTTTCGACATAGCTAAGGCAACTGACAAATCGCTGAGACAGTTGTATAAACTACAATATATTTGATAAACAGGTAATTGATGCGTACGAATCTGAAGGGCCAACCTTAAAAAGTACTTCTAGGCTGTGGAACGTATTATAGTCGTCGGAACCTGTGATATACTGTCAAGACTTTTGTAGATCAGGCCTAGAGCTTCACATGCAAGTCAGCAATGTCATAAACCACCCGGTGAGAGCCCGGGGTATTACGTCTTCTCTAACTTGGGAGTAAGTACTTAGTAAATCACTTAACAATGCTAAGCCTCCATCATTTCCAGAAGTAAGTATGGAGGGTGCACAAAAATGACGTCATGTCCCATCACTTTGCATTTTTAGTGGTAACCCTAATGCCATCGTAGTTTTAGTTGAGCCGAGAATGCAACCTCCAGGAAGGTGGTCAAGCAGGTTGGTATGGCTATTCAACGAAAGACGATACCTCAGCACGACTACCCTTCCACACTACTACGGGATGTTGATGATAAGCTCGGGCCGGTTGGGATGTTCAGCAAGGTCCTGATTGGAAAGCTTGCGGGTTTCCTCCTGGAGTATATTATCTTATCATTCTTCACACAGAAGTTGACAATATTCACTAATTCAATCTTATAATCAGCATAATATGGCTCGTCTCAAAGCCCAAGCCCTAATGTCATGGGTCATCTCATGGGCCCTCAACCTGATAGAAAGATTTTTCATAGATGAACAAAACATATTGGCCGAGGCATTTCCTACAATCGGTACCTGATCCTATGAAACCATGTTTAAAATGTGTGCTGACTTTCTAAGGCCTCAAGTCCTCTGAGGGCTCAACGAAGAAACTTGCAAACAAAGTGTGTAGATAGTTGATTGCAATGAGAACCACAGCACATCCAGGGCAACCATTTGGGGCTTGAGTGCCAGTTATGGTTCAGCTAAGTACTTGGGAGACCGCAGAGATGTTTACTGGGTAGAGAGATTGACATTGGTTTAAAAAAATATGGGTACTCTTTGAGCATAATATTATGTGGGCAGTCTTAAGTATTTGTTAGTTAAACCTGGAAGGTAGATGCACAGAAGGTAGATACGTCACGTTGTGAGACCCGTGTTAACTATCATCTTCTTGTTCGCTGCTCCCTTCTATCCCTTAGAAGGGCTCATGCCATTCATCTTGAGTTAAGAAGGCTCCTCAGCCACTTGACGACAGTAAAAGGTGGCTGATCAGTTTCTGAAACCCCGATATCATTGATCTTGGCCGATTGTTAAAAACGTCACTAGTGCGAAGCATCGCCCCACCACATCACATTTGCTGGGAATTGCTATACCGGCATAACACGTTGGACGCAGGGGCATTCTGAGCCTTGAAAGCCTCTCAGCTCCCGTATGACATATTAACCTTATGGCCTCGTGGCGCCAGAAATCGCATCGACCGACTAATTACATACAGATTTTTGGTCAAACCCCAGCCGATCTATTCCAGATGATCAATTTAATATACACGCGAGCTACCATAATTACGTCAACAAGAGAACCTGATGGCTTGCGTGTGGGTTTGTTATAAGTTTTCTTTAGTTCCTTTTCTGTGATACTTTGTAATCTGGTCGTGTTTGGCGGTGAGAGGTAGCTTGAACGTTGACGGCTCTGAACGACGAAAGATTAACATTGATGCGAGTGTGCATGTAAGTTACCACACAATAAGCCGCGCCACCCTTGCCTAAACTCAATCGACACCCCAGATTAATTGATGACCCACCCCTGCTTGACAGCCTATCGGTAACTAGTAAGTAGCACGACCTCCGATTCCGCCGATATACTCCTTGTAGGCTGCATCTTTCGCGATCTTGCCTCTTCGTTCGTTTCACACACCAACCCCAGCTCTTCCAGATACGGGTACCTCTCCTGCTTAAGCAGGAGGATGTCAAGATCAGGTCTCTCATTTATTCAAGCATAATGCTGACTCAGTCAAGAACACGCAAGAATCATTGCCTAGGTGGCAGGTCGCAACAAGAAATTGTACTACTGCTGTGTAGGCAGTACTATCCCAACAAGTATTTAATTTCGTATAACCCCGCTCTTTTAGATAGGAAACTAAGAGTCTCTCATGTGAGTCCACTATGTAATTAGATGTGAACCATGTGATATCGATACATGTCGGCGAATGCCAAGGGTACATGGAGATGACCGGGGCGTTGCTTCTAGTGGCAGAGAAGATACACAATCAATAAGTAAACGTGCACCTTCTACGTTGAAACATGCCGTTTGAGATCCTTCAATGTTCAGTAGTACTGTATACTACTGACAGGTTTATATTGAGTAGCTCCCTATTCCCGCAAGCCAGTGAACCCGCCCTTGGCAATAAATATTGATCTAACTACGGAATACATAAAGTAAA